AATCGTAGGATCTATGAAAACATAAAAATTATACTTGGTATCTTCTGTTGTCGTTGTTGATATTTATTACAATAAAATTACATAAGTTTACTCGGATAAAATTAATCACATTTTGAACACCAACTTAGTACAACTTAGATAATCAGCATTCTAAGTCATACCACCATTGCAAGTAGTTTAAATCGTACTACGTTTAAAATTGGAAAATTATCGTAAAACTGGCTTTTTCTCAATTAATTGCTTTATGCAATAAATTACAACAATGATCACAAAGATGTGTTTTTAATTTTCTTGTCAACTCCAGCATATACGTCGTGTACTCATCTCTTGGATATTTTAGGCCTTGAATCACATTCTATTCGATTTCTTCTTCCCAAATATTACAGAGGGGAATACGATGTGAAATATTATGGTTGACTAGGGGGTGTGCTATGGTATTATAAACATGTTCCGCTATCTTATTCCGCTAAGCACTACACGGAAAAAAATGTCAAACGTATTACACCTTATCACACTATATTAGAGAAAGAATTCGAAGAATTAGGCACTGAGATTTTAAAATCTTTATTGAAAACTCATAAAACTTATTTTATTTGTAGTTAAAATAGCAATTTGAAATATACCATTGATTTCAAAACAATGGCAAAGTAAGGATTTTATTTCCATAATATTTTTTCTATAATAAAAAAAAATGTACGAAATCCAATCAAAATATCATGTAAATAAAACTAATAATAAATGAATAATTTTATTTACATGATGTTTTTTAAACAAACCCTATCATTTCAACGCAATTAAATTAGGTAATTAGAATTTCAAGGTCTGTATCCTAGCAAAGTGGATATGCATCAGTAAACTGTAATTGCCTTTATATTTTGAGTCAGCATATAATTAGTAGTATATCGGAGTAATTTCTCAAGGATGGTTATTCGAGAGCAAGAACTGACACATGTTCTACAGTAGTCTTCCTAAGTAAAGTAAAACGTAAATTATTCCCTAACTCTTTCATTATGACATTAAAAGCACGTACCGAAATATTTTCATTTACACAGCTGTTACAGATAAAACTTTTATAGAACAATTCATAAATCTGCGAATTATGTTCTCATTGCGAATTATGTATCTCAGTTGGGACTGTACCCAACTGAGAATCCTTCATATTCGACAGGAGGTGAGTCGTCCAGTCAAAGGTCCCCGAACGGTAAGCAGAATGCTAATCATGCTACCGCTCCAGCCCTTCTCAGACACGGAACGGCAGACTTTAAAAAAATCTCTCCAGCCACTGCTGCACTGAGCAACCGGAGTCACCACTCCCGCCGCTCAAAGAGCACAGTGAGAGAACACTGTAAGTCTGGAAGTTTGACTGGTCGTCAAAATGCTCCTACCAGAACGACGCGAGCTAGGTCCCGTAATCTGAGGGCCAACTACATCAAACGGAGTACAGAGTTATTACCTTCCTACTCACAAATGCTTCCTCCATAGTCTTTGGTGAGCCAGCTGCCTGACTAAATGCAGAATTATTATGCTTTCTCCTCTCACAGGTTGGAAGACTTCGCCAATCCCCCCTTTTCCGACCGTATAAGACGATCTTCTCTTGGGGTTATGGAACCCCCTCCGGACCAAGGATCAAGGCGTTTTAATTACGGAATACCTCCATATCGCCGTTAAGAAGAACGAATAAAATAAACATTCTCTAACGAAACTGAAAGAAGCCATTGTGGACTGAAGAAAGGAGCTGGTTAAGAGGTTTCCTGTCAACAAGAGTGCTGACAGTCTACACTTTACCTCAAAAAAGGGGCAATTGACGTTTCCGTTGTGAGGCACGAGGGCAGAAGTCGAAAAGTTAGAAGGGGGATCGGCAGGCACGCGCCGCGAGCAAGATTGTCATCCCCCGGTGTCGAGACTGCCTAGGTACAGAAGCGAGCCAGCGCAATTAACGACTGCCTGTGAGCGACTAGGAAGTAATTCTTTTTGCCAAAAGAGGCGCAGCTGGCATTGCATTACGTCTAATATTCAAAAGGTACGACTTGAGCAGTGGTCCGATTTGTGCGACCTAACAAATTTCAGTATCAGCACTTTCAATAGAACGTTCATGATTTTAGTTGATTGCACAACTACTTAATCCTTCAAAAAAGAGACATTACTACTTAAACACTTTTCTTCAAATGATCCTAAATTAAATCCCTCTTTTACCATCAGTTTTTCAAGAAATTATTATCTAGCCGCTTTCTTTTTTTGTTTCTGACAATAGATGACGTCAGAGGTTTTATTTTCTATAATGTGTAAAGTCTTACTCGATTAGGGATCATAAAATGTAGACCCTACTGAACATAGCGAATTCTCGCTAAGTCTTGAAAAATAGATAACTGCCAATGAAGGTTAAAACAAGAATGAAGAATAACAATGAAGGTTTTTATTTTAAGTAAACTAAACCGAACATGCACACACTCGGTACTCACAAATTAACTACTGCTTGTGGCGAAGTAACTTAAACACAAATTAGCATGTACAATCCGGATGAATCAAATTTCAGCTACACAGCTGATTTATTCTTCAATCTAAATCAGATTTATCGGCTGCACACAGCAGAGCCGAGTATAAAATATCAAATAATCTAAAAGTAAGTGGCTAGCACAAATATTTAGTTACACAGTTACTTGCAAAACACGCGACATAATCTCGCTTGCGGGTTCTCGGCATAAGCCGCTCTACTTGTAACGAACTTTTCTACCTCTAACTTTCAATTCTGCTACTTAAATACTATTGCCGAATTCACTGAGATTTTGCATATATGTGAATTAAATTTGCGTTCTGGCAGGAAATTGAAATCAGAAGCGAAAGGAAAGTTTCTTAAAAAAATTTATTAGTACAAAACAAGGTTTTTACAAATGTAATTACAATCTTCACGCATCTTTGCGTAGGCTTATGTTTTTATGTCTTAATTTTCATTTCCGCAGCTGAAGCGAAAGGTTGTATTTAACCCTCGAAATTATAATCTTTCAAATTTCATGTTACACTGACTGCTGTTGCTCATTATAAATTTCTTCAGCATTCGACTTTCATTATAAATTTCGTCAGCATTCGGCTTTCTCTAATTCCGATTACAATTCAAATTTAACTGTTTTTTAATTTTCTATTCTGTTACCATCCGCAATAAGAAAAAGTATACAGTTAATACAAAACAAAAAGTCTACATAGATTTTACGGATTATTTCCTTTCCGGAATACTCCACATTTAGAGTAAAAATAATTGTCTAGTATAAATGAATTTATTACTCTTTCATTAATAAACTAATTTATATTCCACTTGCAAATCTAATCGCTAGAATGCCATAAATAATTGTTTCGCAATTTTAATCACTATGTTTTCGGTATCACGCAGTTTAAAAGAAAAGAAATATTCTCAAGCATTTTATAGCATAGCTAATAAATGAAAAGATGCTATTCTTTGTTGACATTTATTATATAAAAATTAGCAATTAAAATACTTTTATAGTAATAATTTACTTCTTTCTCAAATCTGAAAAATAGGTCACGTAAATAATTGTTTCAATATTCCCAATTATAAACATTAATAACTGAAGAAAATCAAATATTAATATCACTCCCAAATATCAGAAATAAATGACGTATTCTTCTTTCTCTCTTATTTTGAGCTGTTTTAGCTTTGCTACGTTTTAATAACACGTAATAAAATTAAATATTATTTTCTTTTTCTCCTCATTCTTTTGTAGGGTTTATATTTGTTTTAACTAACATTTATTTTAAGTTTAAACTATCTTTCCTGTCAAGCCTTACTTTCCCCTGGAACTGCTAATCCAGAGTATGTAAATTTTAGTAGAACGCGCAAGGATTCAAATTATCAGCGGAAGTATTCTGAGTTAAATAGAATGGAAACGAGTTCGAGGTGTGCTGTTCTTACTTCACGAGCGCGGAGGTAGTTAGCCAGAAATTGAAGAACCCCGCGTTTCGGCCTGTGTGCTTGCCTCGGAGAATTGTTAATCGTTCAACGTGATATTCAAAGTTTGCTGAATTAGCAGCGGTATTGTAAAACGCGGTGAGGTTAGTTACGTTTAGAGAGCCTCGTAGTTAGAGTCTTGTTATTATTTCTTTTCAGGTTCTTAATTTTATTTTACCGCCGGGTCGGCGTAGTTTGTGAGCGTCAAGAGCACGCAATTGTAATTTCTTAAGTTGAATAAAAAGGGACTTAAACCTTTAGCAAGACTCTGTCTATTTTCCAGTTTCAACAGTCACCTCTTGGTTGCGTGCAAGTTGGAGGCGCGCAACTCTACACCTTATTTCTCTACATATAAGAAGTAAAAATAAGTGCATACTTAGTTCTGTAAAACTACAAAAATACGCTTGCTACTAATAAATGTAAAGGCCATTAAAATAATAAATGTAAAGACCATTTTTGGTCTTAAGTATTTTTGGTACTTAATTAAGTATTTATTCACACACAAATATCTTCATAAATTTTTAAGTGTTACATACTAACACAGAAATATCTGCTTAAAGTTGTTATGAGTGTTATATGCAAATTAAGGATTTTGCTGTTTTACTTCTTTGAATCTACTGTTTTACTTCGCATGACTTTCTTTGACATATTTATACATATTATATACCAAACCTCTTATTATTAATTCTTACCCGTTATAATAAACTAGCACGTGTTCAAAATCTTTTACAAGAGCTAAATAAATATACGCTGTGCAATGAATACTCATATACACTAATGATTGAGAAGTATTATGAGACATGATATGTATAGTAGGTTTCAATAATGAGAATTTTCTAATTATCCCAATTATTTCACACGTATAGTTCTAACACCATTTCATTTCGAAGTTTAAAATTCATATTGAGAATATATTATGGTATGCAATTTCGTAAACATTTTTTAAAATCTTACTGTTTGATAAGAATCATGTTAAAGACAATGGAACGTTTTTTGATATTTTATCCTGCTTTCAATAATAATGTACAAATTTTCAACTTACTAGTTGTCAAAGTCTCCCAGACAGCATTGCACAATCCCCAACCAGCGGCAATGACATAAAAAACTGCTACGTCGTCTCTCACCGGCGTCCACAACCATAAGACCATAAGAAGACCAATATGACATATAAGAGCAGCGACCATGATTGTCATACGCTTGATATGCTTGAAGAACTGATGAGCAGCAATTGAACCCAAGGTAGTCATAGCTCCCGTGCACAGCATAGTGTACCCAACCGCTTCCAGGCCCAAGGCGCAACTCACGTAAGACTGAAAGAAGAGATATCTGGAATTATGTTAAATTGCAAAAACTTATCATTTTCTGATTTAAACTCTATTATTTCCAGTTTTCAAAGATGTAATAAAAATTCACAGGAAATAGGTTTAGTTTAAATCACATTTTCCCGACAAACAGTGTATCTGCAGATAACCTGCTCTCTCTCATGGTGCAGCAATTCTGCTGACGAACAGTGTAAATAACTAAACTAAGTGATAGATTAGTTTCTAATTTAAGCATGCGTAAACATTTGATTGAATTCAAGTTTTTAGTAGCATATCAAACTACAGTTACTTCAACTAAGCTGAATTTTGGCAAAGAAAAGTAATTAAATGGCAGTTCATGCTAGGTTGGTACGTCCTTTGCTAAATCACTGTTGAAGTTCTAACACGTTTAAATTATAAAATATTTAACTACTAAACATTTACGTCTGCATTACCCGTTTAGATTAAATATTTAACTACTAACGACAAGTATTTATATCCTCATTTCATTTTCAAAACTTTCATCGTTTCATGCTTTTCCTGAAGAAATGATACATTTATACTGCAATTTTACCTAAGTGAAAACGAATTTGTAACAAAACTGTCTGCTTAATTTTATCTTTCCGGAGCTGAAACCGAAAGAATATGACAACTTTCTGGATTTTCACTGTAAGAGAAAGTCTAAAATATAAAGAAAACATCCAATTTACGAAAGAAAAAAAAATAAACTCTCCTATACTTCCGAGATTGGGTAATCTGTTTTGTGGTATTGAGTTTCTACTCCCGGAAACGAACGGAATCTGAGCGTGTGTAAAGCCATTACTCCAACATAACTGTGATCCATTTTCAGCTCACGTGACGGTATTTTTCTGGCTGAACTGTAGTTTATTCTTCCCGAAAATGTTAGAACTTGAGAAACTTTACAAAGTGTGAAAAGAAAATTTTCTGTAAGGCATTCGTGAGTTAGTCAGCCAGATATATAACTCAATCATATTCCACAGAGTGAATTCAAGTTTATAGTTACCTTCCCAAGAAAAAATAGGCCGATGTTAAAACCGTTTTGTATCTTTAGAAAAGAGGTATTTTGTTGTATGACACACTAGATATCGATAAAGGTTATTATATAAACAAAGCTAACTAAAGCTGATATATTTGAAGGTGTTTCTCCCGCCTTCTTAGCATGTCGTCGTAGTGTAGTGGTCAGCACGTTCGGCGCATATTCGGGAACTCTGTGGTTCGAGTCTCGGCGAGGGCGTTGCTCATTTTTCACGCCTCCTGCTTCGAAATAACGTAAGGTCTGTACAACATGACCAACTTTGTCTCGTTACTTGGTTTTAAAAATTTTAGACCTCTTCATATAACACAAGTATTAAGCAAATGAAACAGGAATTTCAAAAAACTCCTCTTGCGCTCATGAGATTAAAAGCTCTATAACTCGTAATATTTTACAGATATCTTCAATGAAATACCTATAAAATAAAATATATATATATTTATATAATATAATACTTTAAATTAAAAGGAGCCAATATCTGTATACACGAAGATCAGTAAAAGACTTAGATGCCTAGGATTGCGTAATATTTTGTTTTGCCAATATTTAGTTTAAAAATATTCAAAATGTAATTAATAATTGCTATTAATAAATTTAAATAAACTCTTAAAAATCTATCTTTATAATTAATTTTTTAAAAATAAATAAACAACTACAAATTAAACCTTAAAATTAAATTAATAATTACAAATTAACCCTTACGAATAAAGTTAACCTTTGACAAAGACCAAAAAAAAAATTATCAACTGTTATTTAACTTTATGCGAATTTTGTTTATTTTTGTGTTAATTTATTTGTATTTCAATTTTATTTTCCAAAACATTTTTCATTCAATTGTTCTAATTTTAGCCCTTCTGTTGGAAAATACCCACTCTGAATTTATATTTATTCTATGCATTTATCTCTATCTTCTCGTTCTCTCTCTCTGTATATATATATATGTGTGTGTGTGTGCGTATATAATAAATATTTATTATTTCGATATGATATTAATAAGTTTTCAAATTAACGCTTGCAAAACTGAGTAACTGATCGAACAAAACCGAAGCATAATAAATACAACAAACAGTACGGAAATAAAATTTAAAATAAAATATTGAGTGCGTTTTTACAAAATTGTTATGACTTTAAATCTTAAATTGTAATAAATATTACAAAGAGTACGGATCCTCTTCCGAAGCAAGAAAGGCATTTTTAGGAAAATTATTCACAAATTCAAAATTTTCTTGAAACAATTTTATAAAACATGCGCAAGTAAATACGCATCAGGAATTCGACAATAAATAAGAAGGAGAAGGAGATATTACAACAGTTTATTAATCTTGCTAAGGGTGGCAGAAAATATGAAGCTATTTGACTACCTCTACCTTGAATAACAAAAAATAAATATAAAGGAGAATACTTGAAGCTTCTGAAATGAATAGCAAGTTTCATAATCCTAATAAACGCAAAATAAGAACCTGAATAAAATGAAGAAATAAAAATACGCATAACGCATCAAAAGATAAAGTAAAAAATTTTAAATACTTATAAGATCCAGATGTCGTAGCGTGTCACACGCATTGTCAACAAATATATAAACGGAATATGAAAATATGCTGTATAAGAATACAAAGATAGCCAACTGGAGAAAAATCAAAATTGAATTGGATTATTTAATTTATATAAAATACAGGAGACTACCTGCTTAACCTTCATCTCAGTTTTGACCAAATTTGACCTTCAGTTCAGTTTTGAGTAAAGAGAATTTCAAGCACTTCTTCCCTCTACCACTAAATTATTAAACAGGACGAAACGAAACCACTTTATGATGCACAAACCCAATCACATCTAGTTGTAAAAATAATATACGAAAGCTTTATGAAAATTACAACCGTTGTAATACTTAAATAATATAAACACCTATTATTTCAAATGTAATAGTAGTAAACTATTTAGACAAGGCAAAGACCTTTCAAGTCTATGATAACATTTAAAGGAGGAAGCTTTAAAATATTTAATTCATAAAAGACTATTAATAGAAATTATCGAACGTAAGAAAGAAGGGTTGTGGAATGAAAGAGAGAATTTTTAAAAAATCTTTATTCCAAATATCATAGAACCTGAATAAAAAATGTAGTAAGAAAACCTGAATAAAAAAGGCAGTAAGAAAACTGAAAAAAATGAAGTTAAAATACAGAATCAAATGTCTTACGGAACAAATAATGGACATATTCTATGTTATAAGTTACTTCAATTTTTAAAATAAAACAAAATACGTAACTGCTTTAAACTTTGAGCATATTCATTTTGGTTATAAAATTATTTTGAAGTATACATATACTATTAAAATAAGTAAATAAGTAGGCAGGTTAGTAGATAAATAATCCAAAGGTTATTTGCAATTTTTCATAAGTGCGGTACTGCAAAGGGCACTGAAAGCATTGTCGTCAATTTCTGGTTATTAAAAGGCTGCTGCCAGTGAGTTTAGAATGGATAATGCATATTACATAAGACATATTACATAAGACATTCAATCCAACACAGTTCGTTACAAGAGTACTTTGGTTTACTATTTTTAAAAGTTCTTAATGCTTACATATCTATTAACATTTTAATAAATTGTCCTCTTCATTTAAAAAAAATAAGAAAATTATATATTGAAACATAGTTTCGAATTTCAAATTTAAACAATAAAGACTATCGACGTTCATTTAAATTTTCTAGTGCATTTGCTATTCGATAATCACTGACATTCAAAAGATGTTACTAAAAAATACTTAAACGTGCAATTCTATATTTTTTAAGTCAATATTTTGGGAAGGAAAAGATGTGACTTAAATATTTCATTAAAAGAGCGAGAGAATGCATTAAATCCATGATGTGTTTTAATCTCAGTCATGTTTCAGAATGTTACATTTTATACAGCGAATCTTCAAATATATTATACGTTTAAAAATATTATGTTGATTTCCATAAATAATTAATAAAAAAACGCTGGAAACTTACCCTTGTAAAATCAGCAATCATGAATCCCTGCTCTAATCCAATAAATAGTATAAGTGGAAACATCAAGCGCAGTTGAGGATCTATCAAAGACAACACTACTTTTCTAAAGCTGAGAAGGATTGGCGGTTGTTCCAATGGGTCCTGTGATACGTATAAGTCAAACTTGTCCAGTAAAGTGGTAACAGTGGCAAGACCCAAAAACGCTAAACCAAGATAAACAGAAATCAGCATCAGATAAAGATTGGATGGCACATAAAAGACATAAGATGCAGGACTTCGAAATATTTGGTCTTCTGTGATGTGGTCCAAGGTGCACAGACTGGGTCTGGCCACAGTTGCATACAATGACGGTGACATATGCAGGTCCACCATCGGGAAATGCGGTCCTGTTGCGTGGAATCGTGGATATTGTGGCCTTGTTGAGAAAACGTAGACATCTCCACCATATCTAAGTAAGAGTGCAGTAGCTAAATGTCCCCAAATGCGACTAGAGTTGTAAAAAAAGTAGAATAGTCTTAAATATCTCTGCTGTACTTTGTCTCTTATGCCATTTGTCAGATATGCCATTCTTGATACTAGCTGCATCAAAAACGTAGTTTGTGCACAAAATAATGGCCCAAATGACAGTCCAAGAAGCACAGCACTCGGTAATAAGGTATAAGGTCTTGGGTAGAAGAAGGTAGAGATATAAAGTGCGATTAGGACGAATGAGAGAACAACTGTCCAATTTGGTGTCAGTTTCTGGACGAAAATCGGACCGTATAGACATGAAAATGCGGCTAATCCGTAAAGGACACTCAATGAGTGCAATCCAAGAACAGTTTCCAAGAATAATGAACTCTGCAAGCTCTGAAGAGCAGTTAAGGCGCTGAATGTAAACACGAAACCCAGGCCTAAAACGATCATATTTTTCAGAAGTTGTCTCTCGGTTTGAACCGATGTCAACGACTCGGATGCACCAATAGTATTTTCTGTTCCATAAGAATGCATGTGATTTTGTGATGCTATGGGTTTTATTCGAGTCTGAGCTGTAGCTCTGTTGAAATGGTAGCCAACTTCCACAGGAACAGGTTCTGTTCGACATTTTGGCCTCGGACTCAGTAAATTCTCATGCGATTTACCACTGGAGTTTGTAGACGACATATTTAGAAGAGATATTTAATATAAGCTTTAATCAGAGCAATTTTTCTTTTTGTCTTAAGTTTGTGCTTACTTCTTGTCCAAAAGCTGAAAATTTCCCTGAAGTTTCAACTGGATAATATGTATCTCCATGTCCAATATTTACTTGAAATTATATTTCTTGCCAGATGATTGAACTGACGAATTTCTGAATTCATAGTTCTTTTATTTTAGAGAAGTAAAGTATATAAAGCAATGTAAAATTCCATGTTTTAGTTGCATGTCCTTTTAGTGAATGGACTGGTAATTCGTTTAATCTGGAATCTGAAAAGCAAAAAGAGAAGAAAATATCAATATAAATTCCTTTAAACAATAAATTAAACGTTATAATATTATTCAATCTAAAGAAGTTATTAATTTAAAATGCGACAGGTATGCTTTATAATGAATTAATATGCTTTATAATAATATAATTAATTAATTTATATGCTTAATTAATATTACTTAAATAAAATACTTTATAATTAAAATACTTTATAAGAATATAAAATAGTTTAAATAAACATACATATACTATATATGAGCATTACTTTAAATCATAAATTTATTAATATCTAAGAAATAAAAGCAAGCTTTCTTTTCATTAAAGAACTGTAAAAAAGATCAAATATTTTAATGCTATAAACTCAAACGTTGGTAAGATCTTAATATGGATAAGTTGAAATTCACTTTTTAACGCTCAAGGAATACTGAAATACATTATTTATTCTATTTACTAAGTATGGTAAATAATACACCATATTCCTTTTATTTTTGTGTTAAAAATGTATATGGTATACCCATATTGAGCTAATTATTTCCATTATATTATGTTGCGAGAGCTCAGTTTCAGTATCTATGAAAACGAAATCAAAAGAACAGTTATTATATCCTCTTAATTACAGAATAAGCTTTCTAATGAAAAATACTTGCTATTTGTTCCGACAAATGTAGTAATAATAATGAAAAATTCTTTCGTCAAGATATTAAGATAAATCCTTACTCACATGCAGAATGAATTCTAAAAGAATTCCCTGTAGTGAATTCTTAAAGGAAATGGAATTTTATATATGACGGAGATATATGTATAATTACTTAAATTCAATCCATTTCTACGAAGTAAAACTTTGAGTTTTAATCCATAATTTTGTTAAACAATTATTTCGATGTTCTCTTTTGAACTGTATTGGACCTTGTTTTCAAATGTATACAAATCCTGCTCGAAAGAGATGAAAAGCAATTTGCTTGGGCAACTAATTTAGAAAAAGAGATATCTAAATTAATACGAGAATTTAATGAAAACATGATGCAAAAATACGGAAAGAGAAAGGAATGATTGCATTGAATAACGATACGCGACAGAATTCCTTCCCGAAACAAACCTATATCTCCTTCTCGAAAAAAAATCACAGATAAAAAATGGGATTTAAGTCCTGTTGTGCGCAATTCCAGCTGCTTTAAAAAAGAAAGAAGCCAAAATCGATCAATTTTTTTGCCCTTGGAAAGCGTAATGAAACCGGGTGCGCGACAAATGACGGCGATTGGCGCCAGCGCGCTATTAGTGCCTTGGACCTGATTTTCATCTTCAGCGTCGTTATCCAGGCGGAAAACGAAGTGCGTTGTCATTCGCAGAAGGCGGCCCTTGTTCGGGATTGATGAACGGCCCGTTCCGGAGGCCTTATTAGAAGTCATGTTTCATACTTTATCGGGCCAGCCGCTTCTTCCGTGACATAGAGAGAAGCAGCTCTCATAAACAATTGTGCCGGTCCCGAAGTACCACTTGCTGTTTATTTATTCGGCTTTGGGAAACGCGATGGAATATTAGGAAGAACAGATAAATTTCTGCATGCTGTGGTAGCTGCGGGTGACAGTTAAATGGATTTTGTGAAATGAAATAAAAAGTGTTGTGTTGTTGTTGTGTGCTAGCATTTTATGGTGAATCATTTCACAGACAACAAATAGATTTAACTCATTTGAGATATTATCTCTGATACAGCCAACATGGAATTCTTTATTCGCATAAAATAAAAACCAATAAAACTTGAAGTCTGCTTTTCATGAAAACTTTACCTGAACTGTAAAGTCACGCATATTTGAAATTGCCGAAGCGTTTTATTTGGTATTTCGTGCGGAACAGTTCTGGGAAGACGCTTTACCTTTTTCTCTGCTTTTGCCGATATTTCCTTAAGTGCACTTTTAGGAACTAAATATGCAAATTTAAAATAAAGAAACAACATGCTGATGCCAGAATTTTACTTCGATACTTAATGAATTAAATAATATGCATGATAATAATAATAATATGCATAAATAATGCATCTTAGAGGAAGAAATCGTTTGAAACTTTCTGTAAATTTAATCTTAAATAGGCAAACAGAAATAGGTTTTGCAGAAAACGTTTTATTCCGAGGAACAACATTGAAATTTGATTCTTCCTCTTCCCAAAGCAACAACATTCTGCGATGTACGCCAAAATTGTGTGAAACGAAGAAGCTTAAACAATAATTTTCCCAAATAACCTTTTCTCGCGTCCCCAAGACGGGAGGGTGGTTGACTCTTAACCACCGTACCGAAGAGCCCAGGTTCGAATCCCGGAAAAGGCATGGATGTATTTGTGCGTCCCCTCATAAGCGGCAACGGTGGCCCACTGATTAGGTGACACCGCTTTTAGCCTTAGTAGTGGCCAACGTAAATAGAAGGCTTGAGCCCGCAACTGGGGAAAAAAAAAGAAATTTTCTCGGCATTTTTAGCCCTTACATGTCTGTTTTATTCGAAAGATGGCGCTACATAAGTAACTTCCTTCTCTATTATTTATTTATTTTATTTCATTCATTTTAATGAAAAGTTTTCGGCCTATATTTCAGAATCTTTCACTTCTAGAAAAAAAGCGACCCTACATGTTTCTTTAAATCAGAAATGTCAGACTCAGCGCCTCAAGAGAGCAAAATAGTCACCAGAATACAACAGTCCACGCCAAAAGAAAAACATAATGCCATTTTTATACTTGATAAATGCCATTTTCGTACTTGATGATGTATTTAAAAAGTAAGTAAATACATAGAATCTTACCTAATGCCGCATTTTTTCCCTAACACTTCAGTAAAAAATAAAAGAAATATAACGAACTCCTCTTAGTAGATAGATACGCATTGTTTCTTTTTCTGCACCTGGCATCTTTTTCATATAACCAGCCTTTTTTGAATGTCGGCAGACATATTGTTCCCACTAATAGTTTTCAAGATAGAGGTCAGCTGAATGTTTGTTAAGATGGATATCACTGGCGGCTTGTTCCTTCTCGACAGTAAGAAAGGCTGACCGTACATGTAAATCGAGTAGGATACAAATTTTCGGATTCTTGAGAACAGCGGAGGCAAATATTTGTTAAATTCGGGGATATTATTACTTATTATGTATGATAGACTGAATTATTGCTTTAGAATTGCGTCTTACTGAATTTCTGTTAATTCCACCTATAAATGTACGGGAACGTTTTTCAGCATCATATGAAAGAATATTTTAGTATGGTGATAAGAGACCTTTTTAATACACCGTAAGCTCTTTTTAGTACCCTAGGTTGTATATACACCTCGATATTGAGTGAAATTCCAGTTTTTGTTAATATACACAGCTGCCGCCGTTTCTGGAGTTTCTAGAAGCAGGCAATGAAAACCTCTACTAAAATATTTCCAAAGCATTTTCAAACTGCTGCAATTTCTTCATATTGCTTTTCTTTCCGCGGCATTTTCACACATGAAAACAAGGCGAAATAACATAATGGTGGATGGGGCGAATACTGAGGATAAGAAAGAGGCAAACATATGTTTTCCTTGTCCAGATATCCCCCTATAGTACACCAGTTCTTGTTCAGATACACATAAGTCAAATCCACAGCGTTAAATGGCCTGAAGTAAATGTTTCAGTTCCCATTCTGTACATGTCGCAGTTTGTTGTCTGTCTTTGAATTTTAAATTTATTGTGCACTACACCTCTTACGTGAATAAATGCAATCACCATTATCTTTGTTTACGATGAGTTCCGTTTCACCTTTTCAGGATTCTAGACCTTACCAAATCGCCCTTTCTCACTTTGTTTGAGGATCATATTTGCATCACCATCTTTAACATATATGACTTTCCCAAACACTCGATGGCAATTTGTTTATATTTCCTCCTGTTCTTCTGCCACTATGACTTTTGTATTAACCCTCTAAAACCGGACCGAAATTCTCATAATACAGCCTTCAGACCGGAACAGTTTTGTCCCCTCTTTGACAATTTCCTAATGAGAAAAGTCGTTAGTCCCCCTCTATAGATGCCATGGAGGTATGATAGATGCAATAAAATTTACATGTTTGTCGGACGCCATAGTTAGATGGGTTGCTAGATTTGGGTTTTTTTTCGATGGTTATTTTGCTTTCATTTAAATGAAGTTCTAAATAAATAGTGCATAAATAAATATGCAGTACTGGATGCATATCCAGTGCACTATTTATTTAGAACAAAATGTATGCAATATTTATATTTCACTCACTATTTCTGATCAATCTCGTAAATAATTTGTGAATTTTTTAACTTTGTTACTAGAAATTAGAAAACGAAAACAAAATTTTACAAAATATAATAAATACGAACTAGCTTTGTAAGTCTGCAGGATGGAATGCGATTTTTAATAACATATTTTCATTAACAAAATAATGGTAATGAGTAATTTAATGAAATAATAATAATAATTATTATTAATTAGATGATTAGAATGAGATTCAATACAATTAGATTTTGAGATGAACTTACAGCAATAATAAAGCTTTACATGACAATAACAGAGATTTAAATCTGTTTTTTTTTCGATAATTTTGTTATTATAATATAAAAAGAAAATCCGAGATACATTGGTTGCGTTTCATCAGTTAACTTTAACAAATATTACATTGGGCTATCAGACAAAGGAGGTATATCTTTAACGAGAATTTTTCTTTGTAAAATTGGCTTTTGTTTATGTTAGCAGAGAAAAAAAATCTGTGGCCTATACATGCAATCATCAAAAGTATTTTTCAGAACAGTTTTAAATGTTCATGAAGAATTAATTGTACGTCAATTTCTTTTCATAGGTAGAAATTTCGTCTAAAACCATCGTTATATCCAAAGTTGAAGTCTATTTCATTTCCAACGAATATTCTATTTGCACATAATATGTTTTCTAATTTGTTTTAGAAAGAGTAATCTTTCACGTTTTCAAAAGAATAAGGACATACTGGGTGTTGACACTTACAATGTAGTAGATCTGTT